CGGGGGCCCAGACGAATTTGATTTTTCTACGTTTTTGTAGGTTAGTCGCTAGGTAGTAGACATTTGTGCCAGTGGAGGAGCGTTTGGCAGTACCAGCAATGACACTTAACACGTACCTGCTATCCGTAATGAAATAGATGCTTCCTGTATATTTTCGGAGGTTTTTAGTGATTTCTGTCAGAGCTTTAAACATAGCCCATAGCTCGGCTTGGTTATTTGAGCAGTGGGCTTCTAATTTATGATATTCTTCTTTGATGTATTTGTTGGTGTTGTCTTGGACTACAAAGGCCGCTCCTGTGCCGAGGTCGTTCTTAGCCCCGTCCGTAAAGATCCGCCAATTCGGGGTATAGGAATAGACTGAAAACATTAGTTAATAAAAATATTTTTTCAGTAAATGAATAGGTGTGGTTGAAAATTTGTACTTAATCTCTGCTAAGCATATCTGAACTGTATTGATTTATTCATTACCGTATATTGATATTTGGACAAAAGTCAATTACATAGTGGGCAGAATTTCAGTTATAAAGTATATAAGCCTGATTTTTTATTAAACTTGTAAAAACAATACTTCAATTTTTCAATATTCATTTTTTAAAAAATATTTTTGGAATTGTTATAATAAAAGCCTGTTATAATTTTCTCTTGCTTTTCAAATGTCTGAAATTGTCTACTCACTCAGAGACATTTCCTTACAAACTTTAGCTTCAGATTTTCCACCTTCAATCTGATTAAGTATATATTTTTTTTTGTGTTAAATCTAAAACTTTTCATTTTCTTTTATAATCGATTGCTGTGCTTTACACCAGGCCTGTCTTTGGTACATGCAAGGCTCTGGGCAAAGAAAAGCTTGGAGGCCTCCTTAAAGAATTTATAATGGAGGGTTAATGTTCGTAAATTTTTTTCAATTAGCTTTCTATGCTAAACATATTGTTATATTTATGTTTAATATAATTTATCTTTTGATTGTTTACTGTTTATAATAATTTTATTACTTGTTGCTCTATTCAATTTTGCATATTTTCAAAGTCTGTTAGGAGGCCCCTAGGCCCAGGTCCCAGTAGGCCCACATCTAAAGACAGGCCTGCTTTACACAACAAATCCAAGACTCATTGCCCATAGAGAAAACAAAATCATAACTAAACGAAAGTGATCAATCAGAAAACAAAACAATAATGAAATGTAATGTGAAAATCTATGCCAAAAAAATGATTAAAAGTGAATTTTATGTTATTTTTGTATTTAGTTTTTGTAAATAAAGTAAATAAATGATGACTATAACAAAATAAATAAAATGATGACTGGGATAAAATAAAATGGTGACTAAAAAATATGTAATATTTTTTAATAAAAATAAAAATTTTTTGATAAAAATAGTCCATAGTAGTGGGAGTCCATTATAGCAAATGAGTTTTCTTTACTTTGGCTGGAATAACATCAGCTGTCTGTCATAATGTGAGGTCTGTTTATCAGGTCTTTAATATCAAGCTTTTACTGTATATAGTTCTTATTGCTTAATGCACTTTGGTTTAGTACCACACTCAATTTAGTGTCAGTTTCAGAGGTGAAAAAATGATAACTATAAACCAAAATTTGACTGTGCATTCTAAATATATTGATTATAATGTTCTCAATAGATTCAATAGAGAAAAGAGAAAATTGATATGATAGGATTTGCTGTCTCGTGAGCCCAGAAGGTTTTGCCACCTTGCGTATCCCACTCTGACACCAGTGTAACTGGTGATTGGAGTTTGCTTATTTTTCTATTGGAGCCTAAATTCCAAAATTTTTTTCTTATGTTGGCCTTTAGATTTTCATACTTCCAGAGGCCAAAGGGGCCTTAATATCCCTGTTCTGACATCAGTGTGGCTGTGCACGATGATAAATACCTGAAGCCATTATACCCTTGATAAGGTACTTGATAGGTTGGTTCCTTGTTCCTTGATTATGTAGATTAGTTCGATGTAAGATTCTCTGTGGACAGGTAGGTAGACAGCAGGTTGGCCCAGAGAGCATTCAAGACGGGAGCGAACACCTAATGTCAACCAACTCTCGATGATGATGGGCAAACTCTCTGTCGTCATCAATCCTTCTTATTTTATTTGGAGGTTCTCCCTTTTACTCTCAATGTTTTTTTTTAGGCACTGTTGACAAGTTAGACCAATAATGAGTTTTTGTGTTATGATCCCTTTATTTAGCTCGGGTTCTCACATTATTTTTATAAATTGTAATTTTTTTTGGAATAATCATTTTGGGTTAATTTTGAAATAAATTTTACTTTTGATTTTTTGAATAATTTGCTTTAGTGTAAGAAAATTAATAAAAATGTATTGAATTGTAACATTTTAGAAATGTTGTTTTAGTTGAATTCAACTACTTTTGAATTTGAATGTTTGAATAGTATGCTTTTTTACTCTTCCGAAAAATGGCACTATGTGATTTGTATGGCATTGGAAAGCACCATCCAACACAATGTCAGGTGTATAACATAAAAATACCATTTATATCGTAAAAACTACATATTTTTATTTTTATAATTTAAAATAATTTTTCATGTATCACCAGTTTTAATGATTTAACTTATCTTTTAAAGATTTTTTTATTATTTTAATTGCTCAATTTTTAGAATTATTTTCAAGGACTTTAGCTATATCAAATTTTTTATCAATTTCCTGTTTAAGATATAGTGAAACTTTACTGTAGATCAGTGATTCTCAAACTTTTTCGATCCACCACCCCCTTTGTTCCATAAAGTTATACCCAACGCCCCTAACCCATTTTCTCTTGTGTGAGAAAAGGATTGGAAATATTCTTAGGAAAACTTTTCTATGAATCTCACACTTTGTGCCCTTACTGTACATTGTTCTCATCATCTGGAAACCATTAAACGCAATGTTTCCTCTTATCAGCCCCAATTTTGCCTTTGGTCACCGTTCAATACCCTGCCTCTATCATAGATCTATTCATCGCGCCAGAAGGGGGCGTTATTGCTTACTTTGAGAAACGCTGAGCTAAAATAAAAGTCAATGTGTTAGAAATATTCAAGTTGTGACCTTCAATAAAAAATAAAAAATATATAAAATGTCAACATTTTATATATATTCCGTCAAATTTTTATATATAGAATTTGTCTGCCGTCGCCCCTCTATATTTCCTTAACGCCCCCCAATTCTCTTTGAGTCTTCTTCTGCCCCCCTGAAAGCCTCCAGCGCCCACAAGGGGGCGTTATCGCCCACTTTGAGAAACGCTGCTGTAGATAAACCAAAATATTTTGTTTTTAGTAAGAGATAAATATAAAATTGTTTACATAAGTAAATTTTAAAATTATACATTATATGATTTCATTGTAGAGTATTGGTTAGGTAAATATTAAATAATTATACTGCAATTGCAATTTTAAGAAATCTTTTTTATATATTGAGGAAATATCTTGGATATTTACAAGAAATTATGGTATTGATTTTTCAACACAAATTTATCTAAAAATTTTTATTTAAAAATAATTAATAATTTTAAATTATTAAAAATAAACTAGTAATCTTGTCTTTGATACCAGACATATTTAACTTTTTTTAGATTGAAACCTCCAAAAATACTTAAATAATATGAATAAGTCAGTAATAATTAAATAAGTTTGTTCAAATTTATCAAGTCTATCTTCAGATCACTATTATAAAAACTTAATTTGTAAATAATAGTTTTTGTAGCAGCAATCTGTATATAGAACTATTAAGTTCTTAAAATACGTATTATAAAATAAATCGAACATCTTCATACTATATGAGATGATCAAATGAAAGTATAATTTATATGAAGTAGCATAAGGAGTTTGGTGAGACTAAATCAGAATAGGTGACGACATGAATTTGCCTTGTTTCTTACACCATCAGCTCTTAGTGTTAGTAAATCTGATTTACAGCATTGCCAAACTACTTCATTACTACTAATGAATTCTATTTTTGTTTGATCACTCTGTATAAATATGTTTGGAGATTTTAATTTTGTAAAATTATTAAAAACAGATTTTACAAACACTTTTTTGAAATAAGATACAGCATAAATATTATAATAATACTATTATAATGTATTTTTGGTATAATAACTTACATTGTTATTCAAAAATTAAAGATATTTTTATTTTGAACATTTTCATTATATTAATCTATTTTTGTTTATCAGTACCCATTTATTAATTTTATATTTGAAATTAACATCCATTATAAACAGTTCATATAATATGATAATTTAATCTGATTTACATAGAGATTTGAGATCACTAATCTTGGATTCGATGGAAAAAAGTATGTGGTATGTAACTTTATTCACACAGTAATTAGTAGATGGTAGAAAAATATATTATAATAATAATCTCAAAGAATTTAAGACAAATGTTTATAATTTATATTTATATATTCTATCAATTCTTGTAGAGGATTCTTCAGATAAAGTATCTTATGAGCATTTCACTATATTAAAATGAATAAACTGAAAATTTTTCATATTATAAACTATTACTGAAAATAAACATGTTTACCACAGAAATACACACACAATTTTTTCATCTTATTTTCAATTAAATTTTTAATATCAAATTCATATATTTGAAGATAAACCTGGAAATTTACTTTAATTTGAATTTTGTTTGTTTTTTATTTTTGCTAAATTTTTGATTTTTTATGTCATACTAACAAGTTCCAATAACTTATTTTGTGTTTATGATGTCAGTTATGTTTAAAATATGTATTAACTTCATTAATATCATTAAAATTTATATATGAATTGTATTATATTACTGTTACAATATATAATTGTTTTAAAAATTTAGCAGTTATGATTATTTTTCTTTTTGATGTTTTTTAAATTCGTTGATAAAAACAACAAATTTTTTTGTTTTTTGAAATTGCCTAATTTTTACTAAAGTACTTTTTATATAATAGTAAATTATTACTTTTCTTCTTTTTTCAATTATTATAATATATTTTAAAAATTTTGCTAAACCTTAGGTTGATCCAGGAAAATATGATTTCTTACAAGATCGTAATGGTCAAGTGATACTTTTCATAACCAGAATGACAGAAAATGATATTGGATCTTATGTATGTCATGCCACCAATGAGCATGGTGAAGCTCGGCAAAAAATCAAAGTTTTAATTGCTGGTAAATATAATTTATGTTTTTAATTTTAGTGATTAAAAACAAATCTTGATAACTAGTAGAAGTATGTAAATTTGAAGAGTACTTTCAATCTTTTAATAAATCATTTTTAGTCCCATACTGCTATAAAAATCAATCTTCTTACAAATTTAAATATATTTGAAATAAATACAATTGATTTGAATACACTCAAAATGTATATACTTTAATTTATATATAATCTTTTTGGTAAAATTTGTATATTTAATTTTTATCACTCTCAATAGATCTGTAAGGTACTATATTATTTTTTACGCCTTTTATAACAATTATCGACACGAACTCTGTGCCAGAAATAGCTGTTACCTAACAGATACTTTATGCGGATTTGTGTTAATGTGCCAGGCCTGATCTTTAAGCGTGCACTGAATTAAATAATTGTAAAGTTAGTCAAAAACAATCCAATATGTAATAATTCTAATAATGACTATGTACAAAAATTAGTAATAATCAAACAACAATTTATTCAAAGAAAATCAACAATAAGAATCAACCCGACAAAACTCAAATTAATCTAATTGCTAACTTAAATCTATTCCCCTTTGGAATTTGACAAAAAATTTAACGACTTAACTTATGTACAACAATTCTTATGAACTAAAGTCCTAACCATCACCTCAATATACTAGGAACCTTTTTTCTCAACTCTCAAGACTTTCTAATCTTTGATCCACAAATCGAATAACTTCTAATTGCCTTTGGAACACCTTTATCCTATCAGACACCTCTTGTTGTTCACTGCTATGAAGTTCACCATGCTTGTTGCTAACAAAAGCTCACTTCGGTCGTTTACGTTTGAGGTATGGGATTTATACTGTGAGGTGACGTCACAATTCTAAATGAGACCACTCTCCTCATTTACATACTTATCTCTAACATTGAACTTTTCCTTTTTGCCTGGCAGTCTATTTTCCAACAATATTCACTAACCTTTTACATTGTTCTTTTTGACAATTTTCGGGATGTTTTATTCATTAAGGTTTAGCAAGTTTCTAAGTTGTGTTTGTGGGGTTTCCCCCTCTTCTTGGTGTGGACTTACTTTTTTCCGCTCGGGAGCGCAAGTGTGCACAAGTTTTTATTTTACAGCGCTTTCTCGTTGGTGAGTTGGTTTTTCTTTCTTCTGTTTTAAGTTTCTAAGATGAGTGGTGAGGAAACTTTCGTCCTAACAAAACATAAGCCCCAAACAAAAATAGAATAAAAAGCAAAATAAAAAGTAACTAAAAATAATGCTCGGACTTGGTTCCTTACAGATCATTCTCACATCTATAAGGATTAAAAGTCAATGGCATAGGAAGCTTATAGTTAATGTGGCTCTTGCCAGAGGTATGAATAGATCAAAGATTCAAATATTTTTTGTATATTATTTATTAAATCAATAATGATTATGTTATATTATATCATATAGTTCATGAAAAATAATATAAGATTTGATATACATACATATATGCATATATCAAAGAGCTTTTTACTTTTTTCATAGATGGCAAATTTTATAGCTGTACTATTGAAAGTACTTACCAAATAAACTATTTGTGTCGCTTATTAAAATACAGTTTTTAACTCTATAATTTGAAGAAATCAGTTCTTGTTAAATAACATTTAAAACAAAAAATTATTCTATTATTTTAATTAGATTAATTTATGTTTAATTTATGAGAGCTATTTAATTTACATATTTCTAAATAGCATATTTTATTATATAATTGCCCAAATTTAGAACCAGACTTTTTAATTGTTAATGAGAAACAATAATTGTAATAACAACAACAAATAAAAAAATTTATTAATATAAAATTTAATAGATTTAAAGTTTCAAAGAAAAGCCATAATTCAGCCAAAAATAACAACTAAAACTGTGAGAATTGCATATTTGAATTTCATTTGTAAATTTTCTAGTTTTTTTAGAAATTAATTAACAAAATATCAATTGTAATTATTTAAACAAGAATGATGTCATTGTTATTCTTATTTCATTAGACTTTTTGAACGATTCATTTATAACTAAATGGCTGTTTCTAAAATCAAAGATATGAATGTTGCTAGTGCAGTCTTATTCGAAATATTTTTCTTAGATTGCTTTGGGTGGACAGTTATTTCAATCATTTCATCTTTTAATTCATAATTTTAACACTTAAGTAGATGTATAAACATTGATATCGTCAGGCGCCATTTTCTTAACGAAATAAACTAACTCTTTCCTTTGTGAGCTTCATTTGAGCAGAGCATGTGCAGAGCATGCACACTGAGCAAGACTACTACTTTTCGAACCATTCGTTACTGTGTTTAACTCATCTGACTTTACGAACGTACCCTAAAGTGTTGATCCAGTGGACTCTAATTTTGTTTATTAGACTTTTATTTATAGTCTGCCATTGAAATCATTCCAAAACAAAAGCCATATTGAGAGATATTACTTCTGTTTCATTTGTATTCCTTACTTGAAATACATATTTTGTACTCAAAGGAAAAATTTTGAATAAGGAAGCTATGCATTGTGATTCTCAGAAACTTTACTCTGCCATTTGTGAAAAATGTTTAGAACTGGCCAATTTAAAGTGATTTTTTTATCATGATAACTATAGATTATACACACTTCTAATATTGTGAAGCCAGTATTATTATTGGAGTTTGGATCTTGTTACATCTCTATATTCAGCAGACTTAATTCTATGCAGCATAGTATTTACCAATGCAAAGACTATATATGTGCACAGGGCAGCAGATACCGTGTTTCCCCGAAAATAAGACAGTGTCTTATATTAATTTTTGCTCTGAAAAAGGCGCTAGGTCTTATTTTCAGGGAATGTCTTATTTTTTCCAGGAAGAAGAATTCACATTTATTATTGAATAAAATAATTCCCAAGTCGAACTTAGACGAGAGTGACGTATATCCGGTGTGTCGAACTGTCGCATTTTTATAGCGTCAACATCGGACTCGATGACCAATTAGTGCTTACTAAACCGTAGCACTATGCAAGTGTCATGTGGCGTGATTCCCGGCCGACCAATTAGCCATCACTAGCCGTAATGTTATGCAAATCTGATTCCCAAGCCATAGTCTTATGCAAATCATGCCGTGTGGCGTAATTGTCTGCTGACCAATCAGTGGCTGTACTTTCAAAAAGCCAACGACCACTTTCAACCACCTGTCGATGACCGTTACGACTAAAAAATCTTCGCTAGGTCTTACTTTCAGGGGGAGGTCTTATATTTCGCAATTCAGCAAAATCTGTGCTAGGTCTTATTTTCTGCGGATGTCTTATTTTCGGGGAAACACGGTATGTAGGGGTGGCAAATTTCTACAGAAATGAAATTTGTAACTTGCAAATTTGCCATGGTGCTACTGCCAAGCACAGATGTCTGAATGTTTTGGTAAAATACCAAGGAAATGAATTTATTTTTCTTTATTGCTTCAATTTCCTGAGCATGAGTAATGTTAAAAATTTGTAAAGCTTCTTTTTATTTCAACATAATCATTCTTCATGAAAATATTGCTAATAGGATACTAGATTTTTTTGTAACATTATATTTAATGTTTAACTTGCTTAAATATGAAATAATCAGTTTATTATTAAAAACATTTGCAAAGTAATTTATTTAAAATTTTTTTATATATAAAATTTCATCTAATTTATTGTAATGTTATTTTTATAAATAAGAGTTATATTCAAGTGTTGAAGGTGTTACTTTGAAAAAATAATCTGAAGATATTTAAAAATAATAGAACATAATTGTTTTTAAATATTAATCAACGATGTTGAATTTCATTAGTCTGTTCTTCCATTCTACAGAATAAACAACATTTAAGAATGATCCTTCCAGTAAGAACGTAAACAAAAAAATTATTCTCTTGAATAAATTCAGTCATAAATAAAAGATTAGTTTAATGAATAGTGTCTTTTATTTTATTTCAGAAAGTTAAATAATAAGTAATAATTAAATGTTATTTAAAATGCTGTTTATAGAGTCACCAATATTCACGAGAAAATTAGAAGAAACAGCCATTATGATGCGTGGTGGAGGAAAATTTGAATGTTGTGTAACAGGTGTTCCTACTCCAAAGATTAAATGGTTTAAAGATTGGCATCCTCTCTATGAATCTAGTCGAATTAAAATACAGTGGACGGATCCAGATAAATGTAATCTTTCCCTTGATGGAGCTATTCTGAAAGACAGTGGATTATATTCATGTTGTGCTTCTAATGTTGCTGGATCTGCTTCTACATCAGCAAGTCTTTCTGTAGAAGGTATTATTTTTATCATTTCAGAATAATGAAATTTTCACTAACAAGATTTTCTTTATTTAATTGTTTTATTTATGTTGCAAGTAATTTTAGTAAAAATATTTTACTAAAATTAAGTAAAAAAGTATTAAGTAAAATTAAGTAAAAAAGTATAAAAATTTTAATAAATTTTTATTTAAAACTTAAATAAAAATTTATTAAAATTTATTTATTATTATTTTTTGTTTTTTAAGATAAAAATTTCTGAAATAAGCTAAGGTACTTAATATGATAATAATATGATAGGATAAGAATAATAATATGTTGTTGGAACAGATATATTATATTTCAAGAATTAGATTTTGAATTCAAATGAATTTTTTTCAAAATTAATATATTAAATTAATAATGGAAATTTTTTACAGAATCGCAATCTGATTACAATTATTACAATTACAATGCTGAGAATGCTGTGAAGCCAAGAAATAAAATTTTTGAAGAATTTTATGATATCGGTGATGAACTTGGAAGGTAAAAAAATAAAGATCTTAAATATTTTTAAAAAGTTAAATGTAACAACTTTAAAGGGAATCAAATTAAATAAAACTAACTCTTTTTCACAAATTAAGTTTTTAATGAAATTTTTGAGATATTGAATCACAAAACTTTTATATGAAAATAAAAAAAAATAAAGTTTAGTGCTCCAAAATATACTTTTTTTCAATTGTTAAATACTATAAATAATTATTTTCAAATTTTATGGAAATAAAATTTATTGTTTTATTGTAAGCCAGGGCTATTCCAAATAGAAGCTGGAATAGACAAATTGCATATTCCAGCTTTTAGTTCTGTTTGGCTATCTAGTAATTGGCCTTTCTTTAGAGCTTTTGCTTGTTGGTTGACATTTCAACAGAGTTTTTGGTAATCTGAAAAATATCTTTACATTTTTAACAGTCTAGTCATGTGCAATTTTTGTGGCTCTTAGAAATTTTTTTATTATATCATTTGCTAATTGCCCACATCTCTGAAGCATAACATATGAACACTATGTTTTTTAAAATTTTAAACTACCAAATAAAATAAAAATTCAGTTTAATGATATTAAATTTTTGTAAACAAAAACCTTTTTAATAATATCATATTATTACATTTTAATGTTTTCAACATGTACAAAAATGTCATCTTCAGGAAACAATTTTAGAATAAAAACAAAATTCAAATTAAAAATCAAAAACAAACAAATAATGATTTTTCTATACTAATATAAATTTTAGAAAATTAGATAATTAAAAATTCATAAATTTATACAGGCATAATTTATGATGAAAAATTAAATTTAAATACATAAAAATGCTAACATGAAACAAAATTATGATAACAATTTATATATGATTATCCAATAATCTGACAGATAAAATATGAAATGATTGATAGGCTGTTAATGACTCCTGTACAAAGATTTACTTTGTGTTATCTAAATTCTTATAAAGATCTCTTCTAAAACTGATAATAAAGGAGATTTTATTTGGACACTTGTTGATGAAAATAGATTATATTACTAAACATAAAATAATTATTGTTAACAGAGAGACACATCTCTGATTAATGGTGCATTAATCACAAATGTGCTAGGTCTAATATCTGGGGCACCTAGGTACTGAAGAAGATTGGTGCTTGTCTACCTAATTTTACATCACAAATTAACATTATATAATTCTACAGCTTTAATTTAAATAATTTACAAATAATTCTACAGCTTCAACTATTTTTTTCAATTTTGGAGTTGTGACAACTCCAAAATTTATAGTTAAGAGTTGTTTGTAACTACTAACCATTACTTTTTGCTCAGTTGCCATAATTTGTTTCCATTCTACCATAGCATTAATATACATAAGTATTTGCATTAACTATAAACTGATTTTTGAATTTTTAATTTTTTTGCTAAGGATGATCTGACTGTAGTAGTAAAGAATGTTGCAATTTAATAACTATATTTGATTTCCAAGAAATATAGCAATTATTTATTACTGACAAATTGCAGTTATTTATACTGTTTTTATTTTATAGAATTATATCATAATTATGTATTGATTTGAAAACAATATCTTTTCTTATAGTAAATAACTTACTAGCATAATCTATTTTATATGTGTGAGAACCTGGTCTAGTATTTTTGTAATTTTGACAATCCTGATTATTTAATTATTGTTCAAAAAGAAAAAAAAAACAGAAAATTATATTTAAGCCCAAATTGATAAATTTAATGGAGGAAATTTACAAGATTTTCCCACTAATAACACTTCCATCATGGGTGACACATTCCAATAAAAACTACTCATCAAAGGAAATCTCACAAAAAATCAGGGATTGGACTAATTACCAGCTCCCTGCATAACTTTACCAAATTTGGTCATCAGATTAGCAGAGGGGAATAACCCCAAATAAAAATAGAGGGGGGAAAGGAGGAGAGAGTTCACCTGCCCATTTTTGAAGTGTCTTCTCCACTGCCAACCTCTGATTTCTCACCATTTCTGCTGGACCTTAGCTTCTCTGAAATCCACAATGATTGTTTGTATATCACATATTCCAGATTCGAGACTCATCCTGACCAAGCCCTTCCCTCTTCAGGACATCCAAGCAATCGTGGAACATTACAGATCCAGGTATTTATTGACCTGCATGTGCAGTTGTAAACACACTCTCTCATATAGGCTTGAATAAGGTTTAGACCTTCCCTCTATGTCTAATTTTCTTTGTAATTTTTAGTCTCTTGAAAAATAAATATTTATTGTTTTATGGTTAAATGCATAGAAGAGTACATTATTTCCAGTGCACTCTCTCTCAACTCCCTCCTCCATCCCAGACCTGTTCATTCCCTCATATGTAACTGCTTGCACGATAATTATTCATAAGGTTCTTGTGAGCCTAGAGTAACAGGTGGTGTCAGTCCTGACTTGGGCATTGCTGACACAGCCATTGCAATGTTGATGTAATGGTCACATGTGCATTTTTTAAAATCAAGTATTGATGTAGTTATTTTTCAAAATTAAAACAACAAAAATTACATATCCTCATTACTATGTTATTGTTATAATCCATTTAATTTTAACTGTCAAATTAGATTGAAATCAATTAATTTATATTGTTTAGATTAAAAGAAAAAGAACTGAGATTTTTAAAAAATTTTAATCTAAATATCATAAATCAAACTTAGGCAGTTTATATGACATTAATAAATAAATGGGCATTAAAACAAATGAATCATATAACTGTTGTATGTTAAATAATTATTATAATTGCTTTATTTAAAATAACTAGTATATAGAAGAAAAGTTTTAAAAACTTATAAAATTCAAATTTCATTTCACAGATAAAATTCTTTTACAAGATTAAAATTTTTCGTAGTGTATATTTGTTGTGAAAGAGTTGTTAGTTATCATAAACAAGGCAAATTTCTGTACATCCAATTTTTGGAAGATGATCAATAATGAATTTTAGAATAATGACTATTTTTGAAGTGATCAATAAATAAACTTGAAATTTTTCATTCTTCAATTAAATTCTTTTACAGGATCAGAATATTCAAATTATAATGATTTTTAACTTTTTTGTTTTCCTTTATTTTAGGGGAACCCAAGGTATTATATATCATGCAGTTGAAAGAAATAGTGGAAAAAGTTTTGCAGCAAAAATGATGCATGGAACTGGTAAGATTAGAAGTTTTATTGATGCTGAAATGGATATTATGAATCATCTTTCTCATCCAAGATTAGTACGTTTATGGGATGCATTTGAAAGTAAATCAGCTCTTACACTCATCACTGACTTGTATCCTTTGAACTAACTACGTTGTAAATGCATACTTTCTAAAACCATTTAAAAGCTTTTGTATAAATACAAATGAAAATAAGAAACATTTAGTTATTAACTAATTGAATAATCGAAGATGTTTAATTTAGTGGTTTTTAACTTAGTTTTTTATGATATCTCAGAATGTCACAACAAACTTTTAGAGGTGTCACAAGATTCCCTGATATCCACTAGAGTAGAAGTTCTTTATTTACAGGAGATACAATTTGCAAAACTGTTGCAAATATGGAAAGGAAAAATAGGTTTAAAAAATAAGGTTGTGGGATTGAAAAGATATGTGATTAGAAAACAAAAACATGTTTTTACACAAAGAAATTTAGCTAATGCATTTCTGTCTTTTTTTTTTTTTTTAATGTATCTTTTACTTTTTTCATAAATGAACATAGCCATAGCAGCTGAATTTTTTCTTCATAATCAATCCAGCAATTTGAATTTTTTTTCATGGTACTGTACAATCAAATCCACTTAAGAAAGCATCCTTGAGATTGCTACATTATGCTTCTTTATATGGACTGCTCCCTTATCCAAAGTAACAAAATCATCTAGGAGATTGTTAATGGCATTTGATTCTCTCCACTTTTTCATGTCTTAGGAGCTCTATAATATACAGTCGACCCCCCCTATAACACAGTAGATACGTTCCACTTTAAAAGAATTTCAAGTTGTAGGAATCCTTAAATACATGAGCCAATCACAGCCCGGACATGTGCAGTTTACGGACTATGGCTGTTTGAAAGGTTTTCTTCCATAAAATTAATCGATTCTAGACTAATTTGACTCAACATTTCCAAAACACGTATAATTTTTTGGGAATAATCTGTATAAACTATGCTATAAACAAAAAATTGTAGGATTACTTACCGAGTGTGCACCATTCAATGATGCCATTGCTTAAGCTTATTTTCGTCGCAGAACAGTGCACTAAATGGCGGGCACGTTTTCTGATAAGTTATTTTTCTGCAAAAAATTCGTTGAACTTTGGAGACATCATTAATAGAAATAATTTTTATGGCCGTTGAATAAGAAATGTTTTTTTCACAAGAAATGTATAAAATTACAGTA